CTATGGGCCAACCTTAGTGAAGATCGTTGCAGACTTTTCCCATATTACAAAAGTGCCATCCCTGGGATTTGAACATGGGATTTTCTCATAACGTTTGGTGAGGATGACAACTAGACCACTTCACTAAGTCGCCACACCTCAGTTATAACTATATTTAACTACACTGCATTCTATATTATGCTAATATCAAGAAGGTGGTATATAGACGAAAAACAAATTGAACTTGAATCAGAAACAAGAAAACATCCCTTTATTATTAGATTGGGTAGTATGAAAACTTCAATTAGTATCGAACAAACTTTTCCTGACTTGTCTTTTCAACTACCGGATATTTCTTTTAGTGATATTCATAATAAAGTTAATCATCATAAAGCCTATATAACAGTTAATAGATTATTGAAGAAAGCTATTCAGATTGGATTAGATTCTAGTAATTATGCAATACAAAAACTTGAGAACTTTATGAATGGTTTTATCAATAAGTATGCATCTAAGAGTAAAGAAAAAGTAATTAAAAAAAGAAATATAAGGCAACAGAAATACGAAGATGAAGACGAAACTATAAGTTCTGGTTTTAATGACGAAAAAAATTCTATTATGGTTAAAAATCCATTAGTAAATTTGAAGAGAGGTGCCCCAAGAAAAAAATGAATTAAAGGGTCTAATGAACTAGAGAAAAGACATGTGTTTGGTACTAAGACCAGGAAACAAACACAATGTCAACAATGCCAGAATACTAGATATAACAAAGCCGGTTGTGAAGTATAGTATAAGCGGCAGGGTATTTCATATTTATATTGAAATAGTTGCACAATTAGATTGTTTAATGGTGGGTTTGGTGAATTTCTACTGTCAAATTTTAGCTATTACAGTATTTGTTTGTTACTTATTAAAAATAGTACATACGTATATACATTGGGTTGTATTTGCTCTGTGTACAACTTAATATATTTATTTTTTGCTTCACTATTGCTATATATTAGACAAATCTAAGTTAGGTTTAAGGGTTTTGTAACAAATGCAATGATAGACAAAATTATTATTTACTATATAGTACTTAAATAGTTTAGATACTATTTCTTTTCCTAATACTGAGTAGAGCTAATTTTCATTTATATAATCTATATTAAGAGAAAGTAAATATAGTAAAATTATATCAAGCAGAAAGTGGTGTATATGTATATCATAATTTTCTTTTCAAATCAGTATATATGTGTGTACATATATATATACGTACTTATTTTAGTATTTTATGATTATAAGTAATAATTTATAAGGGCGCTGTTCTCTAAATATTGTTAGGGGCGGAAACGGCGAGTCTGTCGCTAGAAGACCAGAATTCTCATGCTACGTCGTTTTCAAGACTTGAATAGAGGCGTAGATACGATTTGGTGAGTATCTGAATATTATGTGTGTTGGTTATCGTTTATTGGATTTTTCCTTATTGAACGAATTAACTAACACTTGATC